ATTGTTGCAGATCCGGAGTGAAAAGCAATTTTCAAAAGCTATATGGGTTAGCAAATACCGGAAACTATATACTTAGTTACTTCTGATTTTCCCTTTAGATTGATTGTGCTGAAAAATATTTGCTTTTCTCCTGTAATATTTTGGGTCTTGACACTACTAGTTGTGGTAGCATTTTTTATCTACATGGATAATCTGTATATCAGAAACATATGAGTTTCATTTCTTTGACAAGTTATACAAGGGATGAAGGAGTTGAGAGCATACAACGAGTGCACTTATCTGTTGCCAGTAGCAATAGATATATATTATATGCATAACGACATTTAATAAAACATCAAAATATGCATGTAATACTATCGTAGATGGCTAAAATTTCCCACTTTCTTAAACTTGATGGTCTTCATAGTACAGCAGACTTGATTGGTTCATGTGGTTCATCATCTGCAGAGTTTCTTAATAATTTTCCAATAAATGCTCTCTAAAACATAAAAGTTTTAGGTTCCTGTGCCTCATCATCAAGTTTCGCCTTTCGAATTTTTCATTTGACTGATTACTTTGTCGTCTCTTTTTCTCTCTGTGCTTTTCTAGTGCAGTAAAATATCGCTAATATCCTTTTTCTTTGTTGCAGAACTATTGGAACGAGTGCTACCTAACACTGATTGCCAAAATAACATTGATGGATTACTGTTATTAAGTTCCCTTTCATGCGGAATAACATCGTGGTTGAGTTTTGTTCAAGTTGCACAATCAAGCGAGGAAGTGAGAACAAACATGGTGTATGAAACGGGAGAGCTGTTTGAACTGGGAATTCAGCTATCTTATTTGCTCATATTACTAGGTCTTCTTGGAGTTGGGACCTTCTTTGTCATCCGCCAGGTTCTCGTTAGACGAGAACTTGACCTCTCTGCTAAAGAATTACAGGTGTGTTTCTGTTTTCTCTTTGTACTCAAGAACTACATCTATAAACTAGAGTAATGGCATGTGCACTGAATGAGACAATGCATTGGGCATTATATATGTTGGTAAACTTGGATTTAAGTAAACAATATTCCCAATCATGAGAAATTTCTGTAAATGCAAGCTTCATAAATGAATATAGAGGGAAAAGAATCTTATGCTTATAAAGATGTATGAATGTTTTGATTTAAAGTTAAATTTTGAATTGGACATATATCTGGAAAATGTAATTCGAAGGTTTTTGGAATTGTATTTTTGAGCACATCCATTGAGTTCAATTGGAAAAGTTGTAGTTTGTAAAATTAATTTGCATGGCATATAGAAAGACTAATCTTGATCTTATAGAGGCTAAATACAATCCTAATTTAGAATTTTTTTTCTTGACTAATAGTGCAATGGCTAAGCTAAATTAGTTATATGGCATTTCTCCTCCACCTTTGGAAGCATGCGTACTTTATCTTAGTATTGCTTAGCATGTCGATGTCTATTATCTGTTTATAGCACCACATGTCATTGAAATGGGAAAAAAAAACGAAAAAAAATCATAAACTTGGGTATGCAAAAGGTATACTAGAAAAGACAATATGTACAAACTAAGCTGCCCTGTATAAAAAGTAGGGTAAATATGAGAACACCCCCCCTCCCCCCCTCCCCCCCCAACACTTTCAGATTTTATCAGAAACCCCCTTTAACTTTGAGATTTTATCAGAATACCCCCCTAATTAGGTGGGTTTCCTGAAAAATCTCAAAGTTGAAGGGGGTTTCTGATAACCGCTAAGCTTAAGGGGGATTTTCTGATATTTGAAAGCTAAGGTTTTTTTTTTCTGATAATCGTCCAAAGTTAAGGGTGGTTTTATGATATTTAGCCTAAAAATAGTTTACTGGAAAAGTAAGCCAATATGGAAAAATAATATCTAAGCTGGTCAGTGTTGTTTCTCTTGATGGAAATTCAGCTTAAAGGAAGGTTATAATTGAAAAGCAAAAGTAGTTTGTGGGACTTAAAGATTCGAATCCATCTAGATAATGAGCAATTTCACCTTTTTTTAATTCTCCAATTTTGCTGGAACACAATAAAGTTTGGTGGTTTTGTTTTTATTTAATTAATTAATTAATCCACTTGTTTTATTCGCAACTATGTTATAGCATGTCTGTAGCTACATAGTGTGCCATGTGGCAAATTAACTTTTCCATTTATTCTTATAAAATATGTTTCTCAGGATTATTTTAAGAATTTACATGAAAAAAAGAATATATTAATTAATATTAGTAAATGCTAACTTAACTGTATTTCACAAATTTGAAATTTCAGGAGCAAGTTCGAAGTGGTGATGCCTCTGCCACAGAGTATTTTGAGCTCGGGGCTGTCATGCTAAGAAGAAAATTCTACTCTGCAGCAATAAAATATTTGCAACAAGCCGTTGAGAAGTGGGATAGGGATGATTCGGATCTGGCACAGGTTAGATATCAATCAACACTAACAAAAAAAAAAAAAACTGTCAACTAAGGGTAAATTTCACAAAAACCCCAAGAAGTTTGGAAATGTCATTTGACCTCCAAAACTTTTGCAATTTTCTGAATCTAATTTTAGATAAACTCCAAGTTTGGGGGTTATGACATTTCCAAACTTTTTTGGGGGGTTATTCTCAAAATGGCCAAACTTCTTTCTTTCTTTCTTCTTTTTTTTTTTTTGGGGCGGGAACATGACTCCTAAATAGGCAGTCTTATATTTTAGTGAAACAAGTTCAAGGGTTTTTCTCTAATATGTATAATGTTTAGGGGGTTTTATGTAACGCAACCCAAAATTCAAACAGATGTCGAGAAATTTATCCTTAACAAACCTTTGCAACTCCACTGATACTTATAACATTCAATCAGGTATACAATGCTCTTGGGGTAAGCTATGTGCGTGACAACAAGCTCGAGAAGGGGATTACACAATTCGAGACTGCTGTAAAACTCCAACCTGGTTATGTTACAGCATGGAACAACCTTGGAGATGCCTATGAGAAAAGAAAAGATTTAAGGGCTGCTTTAAAAGCATTTGAGGAGGTATTACTCTTTGATCCCAACAATAAGGTCGCACGGCCACGAAGAGATGAATTGAGACAGCGTGTTCAGTTGTACAAAGGAGTTCCTCTCAAGTCTGAGGACCGATAGTTCTTTTGATGTTGATCTCATTTTGTCATTTTTTTGCTTGTTGAAATTTATGAGAGAAGTAGAAACATGGATGTTGTATTGGGATGGGACTATAGAGTTGAGAAAGAATTCGAAAATGGAAATATTTTGTTTATTGTATAAATGATTTACCATAGCCTCGCGAATTCAAGCTGTGCTGCACTGTCTTTCCAATGAAGCACTGAACTTTCTTATCAAGGTTCTCTGCCAAACGTGTTACTTTTGCTTTGATTTTATCACTACATTGTCTTTTATTTTATGTGTCCGCAATTGCTTTGCGCATGTGCGATTCTACTGGTGTGTAGCCTTTTGCTTTAATGTGAAATGTGATATAGTTACAGCTATTCCTGTAAACAAGTTGTAGGCGATCAATTAACACCAACTACTTGCGCACTATCACTGCTGATGCCCCTTTCATGTATATTTATTTTGGTTAACTTGCAGACATACCCTTTGTCAAGAGTTATGATCAGAACAGCAACTGTATGCACTATAGTTATGTCAATATGTAATCCAAGTAATGCTAATTTTGCAGATTTTCGGAACATTATAAGAATCTTTCTGAAGTAAGGTATCTTGAACGGTCCTGACTTGTGACTAGCTTTTCGGAGCGGTAGTGGATTTTCAAGATAATGCAAACATTCAGAACCTTTCAGCAGAGTTTCAAATGGATACACCTATCGGGGATTGACATATTTCAAAACCAGCTTGGTATTCAAGTGTTTTTAGAGAACCCCAGTTAGCAATCAGAAGACACACAACAATACACCAGAAGGAAGAGCACTCTGCTCCTCTGGTCTATCTCCAGTTCTTTTCCTGCAAATTACGTTTCTCGGTTATTTATTTATTTATTTTTATTACTGGCAACACATTCTTTGAGTTGAAGCTTGGGGTTTTTCATGGCGAGGTCATAGTGACATCAATTGTCGATCATCCTCCAGAGACTTTGGCCACTAGTTGATGAATGAGCTCATCTGCCTTCGCGAAGATGACTACTATTGTTTTAGATGGCCCTATCACATGCCAGCAATTCTCATTCACTGTTTTAATATTGCTTTCTTTATGAGTTATTGATTACATAGATATAACCTTCTAATACAGAAATATGTACATAACCTAAAGGTAAAAGTTAAAACGAAAAAAAAATGAAATCATGCTATGCTCATGGAAGAAAGTGAAAACACTCTTTAACTTAAGATGGAGATGTTTATAAAGCAGGTGATCCTGCAACTATCACTATGAGGTCTAATATGTGAAAAATTTTACTGGGAGAAGATTGTCAAAGAAAAATGAAGAAATTTAAACCCGTCGAAAGAGTTGGACCTTTTGACCATGTCTGTCGCAAATTACAGCAAAGGGATTAATTCTCTGCAACAGGATCTAGCTCTACATACTAAAGGAAAAATCAAAAATATTGATTGAACTAATTATAAAGTACAAGCTCTCTGGTAAAGAGCCAACAGTAGAAGAATGAAAACACTTGCAAGAAAACTAACCGAATATGTATAAGACATAGACTGACATAATTCTCTGCTAACACTCACATTGTTGGAGAAATTGCTTATGGCCGGAACAAATCACAAGGTGTGCGAACTGTCGAGGCGTGTAATCACTGTCCTTAAGAAAATATTTTGCCCCTTCTAGGTGCAAAAGACGGTAGTGGTGTCTTTCCTCACAGGATTCAACGGTAGACAACAAGTTAAGGTGCACTCCAATAACCTGTTCTTCAAAAAACAACAAATATCTCTCTCTGACAGGAAGGAAGATAGAGCACAAAGGTTAGTCAATGTTCTCAACCGAGGAGGTCAAGTCTCTATTTATAGATGAACCATGTGACGTTAAACTACATTGGGAACACCAAAGGTTAAACCATGTTGGGAACATCAAAGGTTAAATCATGTCGGGAATACCAAAGGTTGAAGAACATTGGGAGCACCAAAGGCTGAAAAATATTGAGAACATCAAAGGTTAAAAATAAATAACAAACATTTTTCTTTTGTGTATTTGAAATACACAACAATCCCTCACTATTTCAAAATACACAAAACTTGACATCATTTGGAACCAAGAATAACAAAGGAAATGTCAGAGAGAATCGAAGATACAATGCATTAGATACTAGTGCCTTTCGACTTGAACTAGTCCTAGGACAATGAACCTTATCCCACAGAAACATGGTAGAATAAATTCTTTTAACCAATATCCCTTGAGCGTGAAATAGAGGACTTATGCCCACACTGCACCTTCATTATATTGTTGTTCATGCGGGTGTGCGCTATTTTGGCCCTGCGCTTCCTGTGCTTCATGAATGCTCTAGAGTACATGCCTAGGTACCCATAAGGACCGACCCAACTCTACACTCACATATGTGGATATTCATCAAGTGTGTATAAAATACATTGCCACAAATTGGGCTTATGGACTCTCCATTAAGAGCTTAACTCATCCTTTCTCAGTTTATCAAGTACTATATGAATATATGAAAATATACTATATGTATACAATGTACTATCTCGCTATAGGCATGGATGTCTCGTAGAGAAATCGATAGTACTGTCAGAACAAGGAGTGACTTGTTTTTTCCCTTTGAACCTACTTCATAGGATCACCAATCACGTAGGTAGGGTTGCCGCAAATCTTGCTCTATTTATTAGGCAGTAGTCCCATTCCCCTTGATGTAATTTCCACTTGCCTCCGATTAAGTGGTTTCGTCAGAGGACCGGCCAAATTTAATTTTGACTTCACATAATCTAGAGTTACAACTCCAGATCGTAGCAATTACTTAATACTTGCGTGTCTTAGACATATGTGTCTACTTTTCCCATTATATATATTACTCTTGGCTTTTGCAATTGCGGCTTGACAGTCACAATGCATAGACATTGAAGGATGTAGAGTAGAATCAATGGGAAGATCTGCTAAAAGGTTTCTCTACCATTTAGCCTCAACACATGCCTTATCTAAGGTAACTAACTCGGACTCCATGGTAGGTCAAGTTTTGCTTCAATGATTTCCAAGACACTGCACACCCACCAACGGTAAACACATAACCACTAGTGGACTTGATCTCTTGTGAATCTGAGATCCAATTTGTATCACAATACCCTTCTAATACTGGTGGAGACCTTCCAAATCTTAGCCCATAATTAATGGTGCCTTTCAAGTACTTGATCAATCTTTCTAGGACCGTCCAATGTTCCTGACTAGTACACTGGGTGTATCTACTTAATCTGCCTACTGCATAAGCTATGTCAGGTCTTGTACAATTCATCAAGTACATAAGACTTCTAATAATTTGAGTAAATTTGGGTTGTGAAACACTATACGAATTGTTTTTCTTAAGTTGAACATTTACCTCATAAGGTTTCAACACAGGCTTACTATCATACTATTCAAATTTTTTTTAAAACTTTTTTCCACATAATGTTCTTGAGTCAAAGTGAAACCATCTGTATTTCTAAGGATTTTAATCCCAAGAATTATATCATCTTCTCCCACATCCTTCATATCAAATTGGGAGGATAAAAACTTTTTTGTTTCACGGCTCAAGATGAGCATATCATCCACATAAAGACAAATAATGACATACTGATGATTCCCAAATGTTTTAAAGTAAACACACTTATTTGCATTATTTATATGATAACCATTGGATAACAATGCACTATCAAAATTTTCATGTCATTGTTTAGGCACTTGTTTCAACCCATATAAAGACTTAATTAACTTGCATACTTTTTGCTCATTTCCTGGTACGATAGTACCCTCAGGTTGATTCATGTATACTTCTTCATCTAGATCGCCATACAGAAAAGCTGTCTTGACGTTCATTTGATGATCAAATAAATTATGAATTGTGCCAAAGACATTAGAACTGACAGGAGCAAAAGTATCAAAATAACCTATGTCTTTCTTCTGGGTGAGCCCTTTAGCTACCAACCTAGCCTTATACTTTTCAACTGAACCATTAGCTTTAAGCTTTCTTTTGAAGATCCACTTACCACCTATAGGTTTAGCACCAGGTGGCAAATCAACCACCTCCCAAGTATGATTGGATATGATAGAATTCAATTTAGAATTGATCGCATCCTCTGGAGCATATTGCTTCATTATAGGTAACTGGACCAATATCCAAAAAAATATGTAAAAGTCATCACCAAAATTGGTGGATTTTCTCTCTTTTACTCCTCTGAATTTCTATTTCAGAATTTTCATGATTTTCGTTGTGAGTCTTCACAAACCACTTCTTGTGAGTCCTTATGAACCTTAGATTTTTCAAAGCTACTTTTCATAGGAAAAATATCTTCAAAAAAATTAGTATTTTTACTTTCAATAATAGAATTTTTAGCTACTAGATTATTATTACTTTTGATAGCAAGAAATCTACTAGCAGCACTATTTTGAGCATAACCTAAGAACATGTAATCTACAGTTCTAGAACCTTAATTTCTCTTCTTAGGTTCATTCACAAAGTTCATGGGAGCACCTGAACTCACAAGCATGACATTCATTATTTCCTTAAGGGTTCTATTTTTTTATTTCAGCGACTCCATTAGATTCCAGAGAATATGGAGGAGTGGTCTCATGTATGATGCCATGTTTATCGCAAAAATCCTGAAACGGATTTGATTCATATTCTCCTCCCCGATCTGACCTAAATCTCTTTATCTTACGGCCAAGTTGGTTTTCAACTTCTACTTTATATTTCAAAAACATGTCTCCTGCCTCATTCTTGTTTCTTAGAAGATAAACTTTTGTATACCTAGAGAAGTCATCTATAAATGTGATATAGTAAAACTTTCCTCCTCAAGACATAGTGCTCCTAAATTCACCAAGATCAGTATGAATAAGGGTAAGCAACTCAGTTTTATCTCTAAAAACAGGTTTGCAAGGTTTCTTTATGGATTTCATTTCAGCACATACTTCACATTTATCAAAATTGATATTAGCAAATTCAAACAATAATCCACATGCTTTCATCCGCTTTAAGTATTGAACATTAACATATCCTAATCTACTATGCCACATTTCTAAGGAATCAAGCAAGTAAGCTAAAGAAGGTTTTTCATTTATAACATCAAGAACATTCAGAACAAATAATCCCTGATTACAGTAACTCTTACCAATGAAAGTACCACTCTTACTTAACACAAACTTATCAGCCTCAAAAGCCACCTTAATACCAGCTTTTACCAACA